TCTATGCAGCATAGTAAATGAAATATTTACCATTTTATGTTGTTTCTTTTCATAAAACAACATTGCTTTGGTATCAGCAATGACTGCTCTCATCCTTCCTGTACCTGTTTCCTGCCCTTTTATGTATGTACAGGGGTTTCTCACATCTGTGCCTGAACTTTTCTATATTCTGCCAACTAGAATTCCAGAAGTTCAAAATACCAAAACACTTTTTAAAAACTAGCCCTGTACCTCTTTTTTCATCCTTTTTCAGGCATATTTTATTGTGTATGTACATGTGCTAATGAACTATTATTCCGTAGGGACAGTTTATTCACAAATTAATTTCTCTCTGTTGACCTCACCATCTCCAATTTCATGACAAGGTTTCATGACAAGAACAGCTTCTTCCATTGCTAGAAAGCACTGGAAAGCTTTATGGTTTAGGCTGTCATTAGCTTCAAGACCATCTGATCCAGAGGCCTTGTAATATTTTTTTGAATAAATTTTAATATGGGATATGTTTTAATGTTTATTGTGTGCTGCCTAGAATTGTCTAGCATAGAAATTAAAAGGCATTCATGTCTAACTAAATGAGGGGGGGCAGAACTTTAATAGGGGTCACCTCCAAGGTGGGCATTGGCTTTTGCTGACCTTTGCCTAATTCACTGCTGCCTTAGATATGGGTTGGTTCATACATCACACAAACTCAAGGTTTGCTTAGCCAAGGTTTAATAAATAAACCCAAATTGGCTGTGTTCACCTATCACACTAAGCCATAAATTATGATTTGTAAAGTGCAGTAGCTCAGTTGTCATAAGCCAAAACCCACCCTTTGTCTTCCTGCATACGCACACAGTGCTGTTCTATACCTTGGTCATCCTTGCCATTCTATTAGGACAAATTCCTTTACCATTTGTTTGGGGTCAGCCTTTCCCAACGTGAGTCTGTCCAGATATTTTGTTTTACAGTTTAGGCCAGTACAGTAATTGATAAGAAATTATGGCATGATAGGCTAAGATATCTGGAGGGAGGTAGACATAAAAAGGCTACTTAAGGTGGACATCCACTACTGACTTCAATTTGTCTTCTTTTGATCTTAGATTATTCCTTGCTATTGCACAGGCTAAGAGGCTTCTCACTTAGAACTTGACACTTAATAATGGAAATCATATCACAAGAGTAATAACTGTATTTTTCACCCTTATGTTCAGATTGAATTCAGTACAGTATAGTACAAAGATTCTGTTTGTTTAATGGTTTGAGAATACCATTTGTGAAATGCTACTTTCAAAATGTTGGCCTCTTCACCCCAGAATGGTCTCCTTTGAGAATCATGGCATGGAAAACAAGGCCTGTCTGGAGTTGAAAAAAAATGTTAGCGTCTAGATAAGTTGGCATATTATATTTGTCATCTTTGAAGCCTTCTTTCAGCTGAACTTGCCAACTGAAATTATGCCCCTGGGATCTATAATGTTATGGATTGCTAATTAGTTGACAGACAGCAGATAATAGGAATAAAAGGTTTCTTTTTCAGTGGGAGGAGGAAGGAAGCAGAATCTCTAAGGGTTCTGTCATTTGTGTTGGGAACAGTGCTTTTTAACACACATAAATTATCATAACCAAGGGGTTAACAGGTGGCCAAGTTTGCAGATTACATAAAACTGTTCGCTTTTGAAAACTAAAAGTTAAGGAGCTCCAAAAAATCTCTTCAAATTGGGTGAATATTCAACAAAATTGAAAATGAGGTTGTTTAAGAAAGTTTAAAGTGAAGGATACTGGGGTACAAAAAGCTCACTTCACATATACGCAGATGGGGGTCTGTGCTGTCTATAATTAATCAGAAAAAAAATCTTAAAAGAGTCACGGGATACCTTAGTGAAGATGTTGACTTAGTGTGCAAAAGCTGTAAATCAAACAAATTCTATACTAAGATGTACAACAGTGGAAGAATAATGAAACCCCACAGCGGAGGAGTGGATTGTGAAAATGTCAGAATTTGCAGAAATGGCAAAACTGACCTGTTTGGTCAGAAAAAAACCAAAAACTTTTCTGAAAGACTGGAAACATTATATGGACTTTTTGCTGAAAGAAGAAATGAAATGATGATTTATAGATTTGAAGATTAAGAAAGATGTGGATTAAATGAGGTCTTGAAGGGACTTGTATAATATCTAAGAGGGAGGAGGAACACTAAGATTGTAATTATCTGTTGAAAAGAAGATTGTAAGTCATTCGTATATTTCTTTAGGTTTTTTCTCTTTTTTGTTTCTTGCACTTTTTTTCTTTCCCTTTCCTTTTTCTTTCTTCTTTCAATTTGTCTTTTATTCCATGAAAAAAAAATCTTAATAAATATAAATAAGAATTAAAAAAACCTAATTCTATACTAAGGATTATTATGAAAATGGTTGAAAATAAAACTGGCAACATTGTAAAGTCCTTATTCAAATCTATGGTATGTTCTCATCTGGAATATCATGCCCAGTTCTGGTCACATTTGAAAATGGAAGATTTGGGGGGGGAAAGTATAGAAAGGGGCAACTGAAATGATCAGAGGGCTCAATATCTTTAATATGAGAAAAGAGAGAAACATTTGGAATTCTTTACTTTGGATAAAAGATGATTAGAGGAAGACATGATCAAGGTATATAAAATCATGCCTAGGATGTACAAAGTGAGCAGGGAGTTCCCCCCCCCCCTCAGAAATTTAGGACCAGGAGATATCAAAGAAATCTACTGGAAGATCTAGAATAAAGAAAAGGAAATACCTTTTGACATAGCAGATAATATGTAGGATTTATTATCACAGAACATGGTGATGGCCATTAACTTGGTGGCTTTAAAAGGTGATTGGATAGATTTGTGGGGGTCATGACTTTCCAAAGGCTATTAGCCTTAAAGACTTAATGTAACCTCCAAACTCTAGTTGCAGAAGAAAAACAGCAGGGGATGCACAGCTCCAGTTGATGCCTGTGAGCACCAGAAGCATCTACTTGGCTGCTGTGAGAAGCAAAATGTTGGATTAAAAAGGGCCTTGGCTTGAACCTATGAAGCTACTGTTATGCCTAATTGAGGGAGAGATGGAGTTTGTGTGATAGATAGGTATACCCACTTAACTAAGGAGAGAAAAGGAAAATTCTGGAAAAGGGAACTGTCCTTTCTTAGAAGTGCTGCTCTTTAGCCTGGATTCTTGTCCATTTAAATTGAAGTGTATGTATTGTAAATCTCAAAAATCTTGGCAGTAAATATACAGCAATAGTTTACAGGAAGTCTGGCAGCTTATTCTTGGGGGTAGAGATGCTGCTATCCCATGGCTTGTCACATCTTTGTAGAAGTCAGTCTCTGTAACAGTTGGATAAGGTCAGGTCAGGAATCAAATCTCTGGATGATTTCATGTTTACAATCCTCTAAATAGATCTGATGCTGCTGTCACATGGAGAAATATTAGCTTCATATTCTTAGAATAAAGAGTAAACAGGCTAAGCTCTTCCCTGGTATTCGGACAAATGTTTTTACTGCTTTTGAAAACTACAAGATGTGAACAGGACAACTGTAAGCCCTTCTTTTTGTCTGAAGTGATTCTGTCTATGCCAAAGGTTGCATCTGTAATTCCAGATGCAAAAATAGGGTCAGGAGCATTCCAAAATTAGAGGCCATATAAATCAAGAAGGAACATTTTTTTTATATATATGAATGCAGTGTCATAGCTGATTTTGTAGAATCTTGGTTCTGATGTCCACTTTTGAAGTCTGCAATGACTTTTCATGGTTGTAAAAACCAGAAGGTACCTGCCATGTTTTAGAATTATTAATTTGGAATTCCTGGATTCTTCAAATGGCACTGAACATTGACTTTTTAAATAGTGTTAATGTCTTCAACCCAAAGCATCCAGAGGAAGTTTCAAAAATAAATCAAGAAAGATCCTTCTGCATGCAGATAAAATGTTAGGATTTACAGTACTCCCTTCTCTGCTAATTTTCTGCGTCTCTACCAATGTATTTTCCAATTAGGCCTAAGTCAGACAGATCTATCATTGGAGTTTGGGTGCTTTGGGGCAATTTCTGGGTGGGGTTCAGAGCTAAAAGGAGATAACAGGGAATTTCTGTTTATCAGGTGAATGGACCATTAATGCATCCCATATTTATTTTCTATAGTTTGAGTTCCCAAGCAGGTCACTGTAACTTTCTCTGAGCATTTTTTTCCATGATTAAAATAGTAAGTATCTACAAAGGCAAACTTCTTCACATTTTGAAATCTGAAACTTGAAGAGCAGAACAATTAAATGGTCAGGGTTGTATATATTCACATATCTTACATGGCATCTGGAGCAACATTTTTTTTTTTTTGAGCACATAAAACTTTTATGATAGTTCCAAAATGCTGGGCACTTATAGTAGCAATTTAAATACATTTAGGGATAGGGAATCTGTGGCCTGCCAGTTACTACTGAACTAAAGCTCCCAGCAAGAGGCACTGGGAATTGTAGATCAACAGTTTCTGCAGGGCTATACATTTTTTCTCATTCCTGCCCTACATCACCCCAGAGAGATACAGTGGATAAGGTATTGGAATCAGTGGTGACCATGCTAGCTGAGGAATTATGGAAATGGTAATAGGATCCATTGGGATGGCCCTAGGTTAGGGAAAATTGGTCCTCATTGGACCTAATTCTCATACAGTAGTCTAAGAAGAAAAGGACTTGGGTCCAGCTTTCTTGCACTTTGTATGGACACTCAGAGTTGACATACCAATAAGTGGTAATGTATATGTGCTTGGTTTCTAAAATTAAGAATCAAATGCATGTATTCTTTTGCCAGTCAGTCATTTTTATGCCCCAGTACATCTAGATCCAAGGCTGATATTAGGAAACAATTAAATACTCCAGTACCCTGCAATCAAAATTTAAATCTAAATCAATAATTGCACCATGTTTTTTGCTTTGTCTCAAATATAAGTTCTGGCAAACAGGAGAAATATGAAATTCTAGTAATATATATTAAGTTAGGCACACTTCATATGAGCATTTTATTAGTTAATTTTATTTTTTCAGCACACAGTTGCTGTCCTTTAAATGAAAACTATTTAACAAGCCACCCCTCAGAGGGGGAAACATTGCTACACACACTCACACAGAATTAATGACTAAACAATTTTGGGAACTATTTCCTGAAATTAAATGCATAACTTTTAAATTGACTAAAATTGTTCCATGTTGAAAGAAGTGGGAGGGGAAGGGGAGGATTTCTTCATATCACAGAAGCAATTCCCATTTAAGTCATATAAAAAGTCATTTTGTGTTTCTGTATCTAATTTTTTTTTCAGTAAATACTGATACACTATCCTGGCAGAGGTGATTTAAAAAAAAAAATTGGCATTATGCACATGCCCCAAACATAGTAAGATGTGAAAGCTGCAACTTAAATTATTTCTACAGAAATCCTAATGGAAGAAATTGTATGAATTCTGATGATGCTTGGTGTGTTTATCCTACAAACCACAACAATGATGCCTGTCTTGGATGCATGTGACTTCACCATGTGTGGAATTTTTACAGATTCCTACAAGGAGAGGAATCTCTCTATATAAAAAACTTTCCCTTGTGTTAAGCAGCTCTGAAAATGATAATCAAGGAATGGGAAGCAAACAATGAGCATGTTTTTCACATATTAGACCATTTTCCTGAAAGGATTAGCATTTTCATTTCGAATTCTTAACACATATTGCCTCTTCCCCCTTTTTTATGCTAGTAGTGCAGTAGGGCATTTCTGCCTTGTCAATAATGTATCTGGTGCAGTAGCTTCTTCTACCGTTGCAGCACAGCAAACCTTCCACTCCAAGTCTCTTGATGTCTGTTGGGTTCACAGTTGGCAACTTGAGCTCTTGTATTTGCTTGCCATATTATACAGCAACTGCTCACTTAACTTTGAAGGTCTTCTAAATGCATCAGCAGTGATTGCATTACAGAGCAAAAGATGAAAAGGAAATAGCTGTCATTTACAATTTTGTATTTGGAAGACAAATTGCTGTAATACCTGGTCCAGCAAGATGCAAAGCAATGTAAAAATATTTACACTGTTTTGCACCTTTTTTTATGTAAGAGATAACCATTAGAAATATCAAAGGAAAAATAAAATCTGTCAAGGAGCAATTAAAAAACTGAGTTGGAAAACCTGCCAGATTCATTATGGCATAGGGGAGATTCAACTACTAGTCATGACTAACTCTTCTTGAAATGTATTTATACTGTATTCAAGAGACTTTATCCACCCATTGTTTTGCTTTAGGAAACCGCTTCCTACGTGTCATAGGCACATCAAGAACAAACACATTAAAATAATAAGTTGTATGAACCCATTCAAAGCCCTACATTAACATCAACAGCAAAACAAAGAGACTGAGATGGCTATACAAGTCCAAATATTGAAAGAACCATTGTTCCTTTCTTTTACAGATCTGGAAGTGTTACATTTAAAATGAAGAATCAAGTAAGATAACATTTCCAGATTCATACTAGCAGGAACAAACCAATTTTTCCAATTCCTTTGCAACAACTAACATCAAGACACCAGTTCCCTCTAATACTGATCATTCCTCATGTGATTTTATGAAACATCTTGAAAAAGATGTCTTTATGTTCTAAAAGCATTTTGAATGAAAGGTGAGAAAAACTAAAATGCTCGCTTTGATCAAGGCTACAGAAGAAGAGATCTACAGCATGCAGAATGAGAGCTACAGGCAATATAAACAAATTGATTTAATGGTCAAAGTCTCCTTTTTCAGGAACTATAAAGTCTAATCTGATGTTGAGAATTTCATAGTACCTTCCCAGAAATATAATTGCTTTCTTAAGGTGAACTATATACTTGAACAAATTTAAACGTTATATTTGTATGTTGTATTATAACTCAGCAAGACACTAGCGACCACATCAACTTTTTCCTTTACTCTCTCATTTCCACTTCTTCTGAAAGGGCATATGGGTACACATCACTGAAAAGCTATCTCCTGATAATAATTATATATAATAAAAATAATTATAGTCAAATTATTATCCCTCAAAAATAACTACCCTATATCCAAGGCTTTACACAAGGCTGGCTAACAACCCAAATCTACATGAGGTCTTGTCTCCATTCACTTTTAAATCTAGCAAATGAATCTTAATCAGCATCTGGATTGAAGGGAGAAGTCAGGGAAAGCAGTTTCAAACAATGACCATAGAGGTCTCCCTGTGCTATCTTAAAACTTGGCTCCATAAGCAAGGATATTAAGATTCTTAGAAGTACTGACTGGTCTAAGGTGTTTTTTTTTTTCATTTCCTAAAGCTATTAAAAAAAATAATCGAAGTGTGGAACCTTGTGGTAATGCTGAATAAAAAAACTTGACGTTGCTGCACAGCTCCTTCTCTGAATGACCGCTCTCATTTTATTAACAGATACTGTATGTAGTTAAGAAAAAAAATTCCATCTCTGTAGCCAAAGAAGGCAACAAAGTACTGACCTGGCCTCTCTACCATTTGAATGGTAGCCACCTTTTGCAACCTTTGACAGGTTGTATGAATACTTTAACGGGAAAGACAAATGCTCAGAGCAGTGGATAAGACAGCAGGCGACACCAGACTCAAGCCAGTAACATAATTCTCACAGGAGCCAGGCTTCTAAATGTGTATTTGCAGTACCAACCCAGTGGTTTTCTAAAAAGCTGCTTTCAGGCACTCACCAGCACTATATGGTGTACTACACAATGAGACCATAGTGCTTCTTCCGGTACAATGTGAAAAACAGCGACTGAACATTTACATCCAGAAAGCGTGGATAATGTTACTGTGATTCATTCCCAGCATAAAGATAATCAAATAAATAATATAAAAAGTCTACAGCACACAGAAATTATACTGCATTTTAGGAAACTACCCCACAGAGTCACATCTTGAAACATCTTTACTAGGTTAAGACACATTAAAATGAAACATTTCCCCATTAAAGATGCCAAGAAATGGGATTTAGTTTTATTGCATGACGTTGCATAAGAAAGTATATTATTGAAAACTGTAAGGCATCATGCAATTATTCATAAGCTTATTCATTACTATCGTTTGAGAAGTGGTTATTCACTTTACATTTATAAAACTGGTTCTGAAAAAAATACTTAAAAATTTAACATGATGAGCATTAAATATGACAAACAAGTCTGTATGGTTGAGCTGTTAAAAAGTGCATTCAAAAAACATACTGTGCTGGAAAGCTAAAAACAAAAATGGGGAGAACTGCAGACAACATATAAGTTAATCCAAAAAGAAGGTGGTTTGATAGGGCTAGAGACTAATGTTACAAGATCCAAACTGACAAACTTGCTTAAAATCTGTTTTCAGTCTTTACACTTAAAATTTAACACAATTGATACAATAAAAAAAATACGCTTTTGTAACCAAAGTCTGTAAGTTCAAGTTATGTACATTGATTGATCAAAACATGAACAGATTTGGATAGTGTGTACTAATGTGATTTTGGCATTAATCAATGTACTGTGCCATCCACCGAAATCCCTCCCCATAACCTTGTCTCTTTAACACACTGCACATGAAAACTTCTAAGGGCCGAGTGTTCAATTCCTTCACTGAGACATTCCCCTGAAAATAAGAAGAAGGAGGTGCAGATTCAGTCAAGAATTCTTGATGGAGATTTCTTTGTACAGACAAAGACAATGTTCAACAGTACTATTTGGGAGTGCTGACCAGCTTTGGCTCTTGAATCACAAAGCATGAAACACTTTTTATCTATTGCCACGTGTAACTATTCCTGGACAGAAATAGCTTAGCTACAGGTATCTGTTCCCTTTCTAGGTAGGCACGTGTCTGACAATAGTTTCGCAAGAACAAAAAAGAAAAAAAAGAAAAAAGGAGAAATCTACTTTTAGAAAACCCACCATAAATAACACAATTAGGTGATGTTGAATTAGAAAAATTCCGACAAACTTGTTGCAACTGAATCCCTAATTATATTGCTGTAGATATTATTAAGCTCTGCAGAAATATGTGATTGTTACAGAATTTTAGACAAGCTAGCAGAGCTCAGAAATACACGAGGAAAAATATGACTAACACACTCAATCCCACAGTTTGGAGTTACGAAAGAAGGCACATACCTTTCCTGTTGTCTGGCCATACAAACCAAACATTTCCCGTAACCTCTCTTCACTGATGGCTTCTGGTCTGTCAATCTTGTTGCCAAGAATTAGGATAGGCACATTAGCAATAGTTTCATCTGTCATTAGTGCCTATGAAGAAAGGAAGAAAGGTACATTATTTTAGGTTTCATACAACCAGTGTCAAGTAGAAGGAAACCAAACACGATGAGAAACTTCTGAAGACCTTCTGAAGAAATACTGGGAAATATATATACAGATTGACTACCAGATCTCTTGAACATTAAAATAAGAACTCACAAGAAGAAAAAGTCAGATACATTGTGTACAAAATGGCTTTCTTCCATGTGATTCCACTTCATAAAATTAAAGAAGGATGAAAGATGATATATAATAAAGCCCCACCAATGGATTCATGTCCTTAAAAATGTTTAAATGGTATCGCCAAGCTAAGATTAAAGTTGATTCATCAGAAATTGTATTTAGGGTGTACTGGACTCCCCAAAGAATGTATTTGAAAGGAAGGATATCAGATTTTCTAACCTGGAGGTATAAAAAAATTGAGGGTTCGCTGACCCATATGATATGGTCATATGATCATTTGATATCTTTTTAGGATAGTGTATTTATGGGAAAATCTTCAAATGTTAAAGATGTAAATGTAATATTGAACTATATACCAAAGCTTTGGAATTTGGCTATTTATCAGGAATTATGGTTGTATCAAGCATGGGAGGTGGCTAAAAGAATCATATTGAGAAATTGGAAATGTGACATTACAATATTCCAGATGTCAAGGAATGGTTGCCAGAAATGTGTGATCTATCTGTTTTGGAAGAGGCAATATTTTTTACTAATCAAAAGATGCAGCAATATGCATTACTATGGCAAAAATTTTGTGATATTTTACAATAATACTTTGTACTGTGTGTATTATACCAGTGAATTCATCAGTAATCAAGTGATTATTGATAAGTAAAAAATATAAGATGCAATTTCTTCTTTCTTTTCTTTGTTTGTATTTTTAGCTTGCTTGAGATTGTGTCTTTTCTCATTTTTATTCTTTTATGTTTAAATTTTGTTAATTGTGTGTGCATAAAATAAATAAGAAATTGTATAAAAAATAAAAAAGATGATATATAAACCACACACAAAATCCAAAACTGGCAGCCCAAAAGATCCATGGAAGAGGGAAAGAGGGGAAATAAAATCGCAGATGATGGATCAGTTGCATCTTCAAAGCCCACCATCTTGCACTAGCCAAAGCCAGCCATCTAATTATTTCTCTTCTCCAGCTTAAAACTTTTTCCATGATGTTATTTTACTGACTAAACTGCTTCCATCAATAGAACTGGCATTTAATTGCAGCCCTCCAAACTTCTCTAGAAGATTGGGAGACCAGTGGACCAGATTTTAGGGGTCAGAGGGGAGGAATAAGTTCCATTATCTGAATGGAAATTTGTTCGCATGATGCTGGAGTCCACCTCCTTTCTCTCTCTTTCAACTAATCTCACTACAGGTCATGAACTGTCCATGAAGGTTCTATATTTCTTTAATTTATCCCAAATAGTGTATTTATTGGCATTTCATAAGATTTATATGGTGCTGTTATATGATTTTAATTAATTAGATATTATTATGTATTATAACCCCCCCCAAAATATGATGTAGCTAGATGAATAGAAAACAACAGCTATTTATTTATTTATTTATTTATTTATTTATTTATTTTTATTTATTTATTTATTTATTTATTTATTTACT